AAAAAATAGCCTGTGGAGTCGGGAATTTTAGCAGCAAAGGAATTTGATCATTCGAATTTGGAAGTGGTTACTGTCAATGTCACGAAGGAATTGGATAGATAAGCGTAATCTACATAGGCTGGGCCTGCTGCATTCAAAAAAAAACAAAATAAATGGTCAGGAAAATTGTAAAATTATTTGGGCCTTATGGCCCATTGGGCAAACCGAGATTTAGTGATCTCACCCCAAGAGATCAAGATACCTCTGTTAAGGTCTCTACTCCTTAAAACAATCTACTAGTTTTAACACTACGCAAATTGAATACTTCAACGTAGAAAAGGCATTTGTGTATTGTGGCAGTACGTTGACGTTCTTCACTACAACATATTTGAAAATGAGACTCAATGAAATTTGGTTGGAAGAAACTATAATGAACAATTCAACGGTTGAGCAAACATGTTAGTAGTCTCACCTTGGAGGATAATCTCCCAGCTGCTATAATGCAAATTTGCCTTCCTCAAATTACCATAGTAACGGGTTCTTAATTATTGAGATTAGCATGGTTTACAATATTTTGCTTTAGCAAATCAACCCTGAACTCAAAGAGGCATATCGTTCGTTTTTCTCATTTAAATCTTTAATTTCTAAGTCCTAATGATATAGGGGGATGCTGGTAAGGTCAATAATAGTGTTTCATCACACCATTTAATTGTTGTTAATTTTTACACTTTAGTTTCAAGCATCCCAAAAGGAGTTACAAACCTGAAGTATCATTAATTGGTATCACAGTTTAAAAAAGAAAAAGAAAAAAGAAATAAAAATCGAAGACTCAAAACAGAAAATAAAAAGGGGAAAAGAAAAAATGAACTGGGAATTCAATTTTCCAATTCAAGAAAGAAAAAGGAAAAATGTCCTGTTTCTGTTCTGAGAATAAATTATATCAAATGTATATAATTATTAATTGAATTATAAATTATCAAGATAGAGTCAATGAAAGGAACATAAAATAATTCTTAAAAATCATCAAAATTAACATATGTAGAAAAGATATATATAAATAATTTATAATTTATCAATCATCACATTAACATAGAAATCTAACAATATGTAATAAAAAAATTCCAACAATCAAAACAAAAATGTTTTCCCAACCATTTTCATTTTTGAAATAAAAAAGTGAAAAAAATATAATTGTTGCAAGTTAAAATAATATAAAAGTAAAAGTTGAAAATCCAAAACGCAAAGTAATGAAAAATAAATATCAGAATAGAAAATACTGCCTGACTTTTGACCTTCTTAACCCAAAAGAAAACGTGATACCCAATAGATCTCAA